GGAGCCGAGGCGACACGAGGAGAGGACACGCCCCACAACCCCAAACTGTTCAATTATATTTCCGGAAGATGCGGGCAACGATTTGTGACGCTTTTTTTTTTTTATCCAGAGTTTAATTCGTTTGAAAATGTCTCAACAAAACATCACATCGCTAATGTTTGAAAGACTTTAAAACAAACACAGCTGTCTGTAATAAATGAGTGTTGTTGATGACGGTCAGCTGTTGTTATTCATGTGTGTAAACATTAGCATTGAACACTGTGCTGATTAATATTCGCTTCTTACCGTCTTCACGTCCGGTTGTACCTGCAGACAGAAGAAAAAAGTGCACAGACGGAAGGACCGCGATTATCAGATTGATGAGTTGATGTGTCATGACGGGGAGGCTGTAACAGGCAAACTGAACTGTAGCGTCAGAGAAGCTCCCGAAGAGTCCGATCAGATCGAGTTTATTAAACACTAAAAACTACAACTTTAAAACTCTCGCGGTGCACACCAAACACACTTCAGCACAAACACAGTGCAACAAAGCACAAGGAGGGCTTTAAATCTGTGGGCGTCACTGCTACTGTAGGTCACGCGTGATTGTGTTTTTTTCTCCTTTGCAGCAGAGCAGCTTCCTTAAACTCTCATAGTTTAGACAGTTTAATTTAAAGCTCTGGTTCCATTTTTACATTATTAAACTTTTTTCTTTATTAAATCAAAAACGATCTCTGTCTCCTGATCCTGTTTGACAATCACGAAGTATCATAAAATAGTCAAAAACACCAGGGCAATGTTTTTAAGAAATTCCAGTTTTATCTGAACAACAGTCCAAAGGTTTCATTTGATTTACAAAAATCGAAAATATTTAAATAGGAGTGTTTTCCTGATCACAGTCATCACTTCAAGACTCCACATGTTTGACTTCCTCATGATCACAGAGCTGAAGTTAGAGACCGAAACTAATCAAGCTGAATCTAAACCCGAAATCTTCCCTTATCCGTGTAACAATAAGATGCTCTCTGCCTTCTGATTTTTCTAAGTGGGAGGGTGGCAGCTTCACTCCACGGTAAGTGGTAAGGTCTGCAGTTGCTTTTTTCAGTTTGTTGGAATGAAGACTGTGAGGATTCAACGCATCAAAACACGAACGCAGAGCTTCTTAAAGACAGACTTATCCGTTAGTAACAAACCAGAGATAACAGAGTTCATCACTTCCTCGTTGAAGCCACAAAATTGAAAAGTCCCCATTTTCACTCGTGGGTGAGACCAGAGGCGGAGCCAGACATTTGAAACACCCGGGGCTTAGCCCAAAAGGGTAGTATGCATGTGGGATTTTTTTTTCCCTTGGGGGGGGGGGAGA